GACTGAATGTCAATCGTGATTTAGATGATAAGGAATGCGAGTTTTTTCATTCTGATTTCACCAGATGATGCAGAAAATGTAATAGTATTTGTAAATTATTTTTTTCATTATTCGCAAGTTTTCATCATCTACATGGAAACCTTATATGAAACTCTCGGAGACTCGGTATAGAGCACTAACAGTCAAAAAAATTCAAATTTTTTCTCAATTCTCGACCACTTCTATCTATAATTTGAAATAAAAAATCGCTACGAACGAACGAACGAACGAACAAAATTTTTATTTTTCAATTCCTACGAACGAACGAACGAATGATTTTATTTTTTCCAATTTCTACGAACGAACAAATTTTTTTTTTCATTTCCTACGAACGAACGAACGAACACAATTTAATTTTTAAATTTCTACGAACGAACGAACGAACAAAAATGTTACTTCTATTGCCTACGAACGAACGAACGAGTGTTCGTAGATGTTCGCAGCCAACACTAATTGAAAGTTAGGCAAATGAGTGGAGACACTGAGAAGCCAGTGAGAGTGCTCTCTAAGAATTCAAAACCTTCGAGAGTTTGGAAAAATATTGAAAATTGTCGATTTGGCAGAGGGCATTTGAATTGAAAAAATATGTGGCCTAATGCAATACCTTTCCTACACTAGGTGTGCGAAAAAGTAAAAGGAAATTAAATAAAAATCTTCAAATGTATCAACGCTTTTAGAAATGATGCAAAACTGTCTAATTCCATAACATTTATTTGTGTCAAACAAAATATTTACATTTTCTAAATGAATCGGAACAGTTTTTGTTCAGTCATCTTCTGAGAATTTGACGCCGATTTGCTTGCGAATTTCATCCTCGATACGAGCGATCAATAAGCTTTCGTTGTGTGTGACATTTTCACTTTCCTTCTTATTCGCGCGAATACATTTCCGTACCTCATCAGCTTCATATCTCAAGCCGCAGCTATTAGTTGAATTGAAATTGAATTTTGCGTTTGGCAGCGGCCACGTTTTTTCGGTTCCATCGATATCGTTAATCGACGTCGGGCACCAAAATGACGGAATCTGTACAATGATAGTTGACTTTATTACATATGTGTCCTTTACTTGAAAGAATTTTAAAAATACTTTATAGTCAGTTGATTTACCGTAATTTGTCCTTTTGTTCCAATAATTTTGGCTGTATTGCTTAGTGTATTCAAAGCACTCGTCTTTATTTTACCAACTTTATTATCACCGTAGCTAATTTCAACCAACACATCAACATCAACTCCTTCATCATTAAGTGTTCCAGTGGCATTGATTGATTTTGGTGCTTGTTTAAAAGCCCATTGGCAGCATTGAATGGCATAAACACCTAGATCCAACACTGTGCCTCCGCCGAGACAATTTTTGCTGGTGAAAATAATATTCACGAAAAAAATTGTAGTTTTGGATAAGTACCTTGAATGAAAAACATATATTTAAAAAATCACTTACGTAACTCTATCTTTGTTTTTTAAGCTGGCAAACCCAAATTCAACTTCCACCGTTTGAATATCACCAAGTACTCCATTTTCAATTTGCTTTCGAACGTACTGATAACTCGGGAACATACGTGACCAAATGGCTTCCATCAAGAATAGATTTTGTTGTTTGGCACATGTGATGAGTTTGTGTGCTTGTTTTTCGTTGAGACATAATGGTTTTTCGACCAAGACATGTTTTCCATTCGTCAGCATAAGTGTAGCGACCTCCAAATGATATGGATTCAATGTACCCACGTACACCACTTCAATGTCTTGATCTTGGGCCAATTCCAAATAACTACCGTATGCTTTTTTCACACCAAAATTCTTTGCAAATTCTTCGGCTCGACTCAAATCGCGAGCAGCAATTGCCATCACTTCATGATCTTCTTCATTTAAAGTACTCAGTGCATTGACAAAATCATGCGATATTCTGCCAGCTGCGGCTATGCCCCATTTCAATGCCATGGTTATTTTCAAATCTTAGTCCAAATGCTAATAAATTGATTTCACTAAAAGCTATCGGTTAATTGCTCAGAAGCACACAAATATTGCTTCCTTATCAAATACAGTTTTATATAATGATGAACTTGGTAGACACGAAAACAAGAGATGAAGTAAAAAAAACCATTTAGTGATAAGACATATAAATTATTTGATAAGTTAGATCTATTGCACAATCAATTGACAAAGCTACAACTGATTGCATATTTGACATATTTAACAATGACATATTCACCCACAGTGACAGTATATGTTTACTTTTGGGGCCCGTTCATTTCATGCTGATAACCGTGAAATTTAAAACGATAAGAAAGTCAAACAACCAATAAATTGATTTATTTAGCTGCCATTTATTTTCACTTGATTTTTTTTAATTGTCTTATATTCAGAGTATGTATGATTTAGCGAATTGCAGGAAAAAATTACAAGTAAGCTATACCAGTAATTTTATTCTAAAAAGTCACAGTCAAAATATCATTTAGTCGTCTGCTGCATATTTAACACCAATTTGTCTACGAATTTCACTCTCAATGTGAGCGATCAATAAGCTTTCGTTGTGTGTTACAATTTCACTTTCCTTCTTGCCCTCGCGGATGCACTTGCGCACCTCATCAGCTTCGTATCTCAAACCACATGTGTTTTGGAAATTAAATTCATATTCTGTATTTGGCAATGGCCATGTTTTTTCAGTTCCATCAGTGTCAATAATTGAAGTTGGGCTCCAGAATGTCGGAATCTATAGAATAATAATTAACGTCATCTGTTATTTTCCTTGGAAGATTTTTTAAACACTGAATAACCCGTGTGCAAAATTTTTTACTCACTGGTCAGTTAGAGCTTATTTGGGACATTATTGACTTAAGCCAACCGAAATTGAATTTATTTAAAGTTGATGTGTTTGACTTTTCAGTTTATTTCAATACAGTAAAAATGTATCTCAAATCAATTTCAATCACAGTTGGCTATAGCCATCTTACGTCCTAAAATAACCGTATGTTTAATATCAGATAAATAGACGAATGAAGTCAAATGGTTCAACGGCTACAGTTAACAAAATTATTTTCAGTTGACTTCAGATAGCCAGTCTCTTTTTTGCACACGGGAATTAGTTGATTTACAGCTGTGAGATCGAAAAAGAAAAAAGAGTCTTATCAAGTAAGTTCAGGAATATAAACGCTAAAATATCATATTTTACAACACTCATTATGTGGGCTTGAAATAAAAAAGAGCGAGTATTTTTAATGAATAAACGAATTATCAATAGGCATAAATACATTATCATTTGGCGCTGATATCAGCAGTTTCGAATTTCGGGCAACTGATTATATGATCGGGCAAACAAAATTGCGACTTCCACCTTCAAAATGCCGTAATTAAAACCATGCAGAAAAAGGACTAAAGCAGGAAATGATGAAACTATACATGATTATATTTCATTGAAGTCAGAATATTCTTCATCATAACATTTTACAGCTCGCAAATGTCAAAAATACATCCTTTTTTGTACAGTTTTTCGACCCATTTTCTTAAATTTATTCCCCAGTTTATATTTAATTACCGTAATCTGTCCTTTTGTTCCTATAATTATGGCGGAATTGCTCAGTTTATTAAAAGCACTTGTCTTTATTTTTCCAATTCTATTGCCACCGTAGTTGAGTTCAGCCAACACTTCAACATCGACTCCTTCATCATTAAGTGTTCCAGTGGCGGTGATTGACTTTGGCGCTTCTTGAAATGCCCACTGACAACATTGAATGAGGTAAACACCTAGATTAAATTAAATAAAATAGGCTGTGAGCTCAATCTAAGGTGTTTTAATTTAGCATCACGTTTTACCGTTCAATTCACAATCATTTTCTTATACACACCTAGGTTTAAAACTGTTCCTCCGCCCAAATCATTTTTCCTTTAAACAAAAATATTCTTATTGAGAATATCGAAAAATGGTAAAACAATTGAAAGATTCCACTCACGAGTGACGGGCGATATTATGTAATTCGAGTCCAAATTCAGCTTCGACAGACACAATTTCTCCGAGTAATCCACTTTGAATTTGTTTTCGAACGTACTGATAACTTGGGAACATACGTGACCAAATGGCTTCCATCAAGAATAGATTTTGTTGTTTGGCACATGTGATGAGTTTTTGTGCTTGTTTTTCGTTGAGACATAATGGTTTTTCGACCAAGACATG